GCTGTGCATTGGATTGAAAAGCATTTTAAAACTCTTAGCTTCTATTCGTGGACAAATATTTTTTGTGTCAACAATTATGTTCCACACACCCAGAGTGGAACGCTTAGCTTAAGAAAAATACGCGTTGGTAATAACAATTTTTTTATCTTTCGTGTTTTTTGTATGTGTTATGTTGTTTCCGCTCGTGAAAGACTGATTCGTTTGTTGGGCTTTTATTAGAATATTAATATATTGCCTTTACCTACCAAGTGAGCAAATTAGATTAACGTCTGTAATGCATTTATGTAACAAACGTTGCATTAGTTCGATAAAAGGTCAAATAGGAGTAATAAGACTGTGTTGCACCAATTTTCAAAATGAAGTGAACCTGCTTACTTGCACTGCAAATAAGCAGACGACATCCGGAGATTTAACCTGGGATCGAACACCTACTAGTGGTGGGAAGTTTTTTATTTTCTCGGACCCCAGTTAGTTTCGTCTTGCTATATAAGCTAAAGCTTTATCCGCCAGATATATTATGTTCAAATTTTTCAAATGGGGAACGCCTTAATTGAAAATATGTATTCGAAATCCTAGTTTTTTACTTAATAAATACAAGCGAAGTATTAGATTATCTGTGCTCACAGTGTATGATCAAAGTCTTGTTCTTACTTGGATCAGAGCATCTGTACGTTCTGTCTAGGATGAAAGTGTTGACCTTAATAGGATCAAATTATCTGTGCTCTTTGCCTAGGAAGAAAATTTTCTTCTGACTAGGATCAGAGTATTTGTGTTCTCTGTCCAGGATCAAAGTATTGTTCATACTCGGATCAGAGTATCTCTGCGTTCTGCCTAGGATCAAAGTATTGCTTTGACAAGAATCAGAGTAACTTGTCGCTTTGTCTAAGATCAAAGTGTTGCTCTGACTAATATAAATTCAATAGCTATGCGCTCTACTTAACTTTGTTAGTTCATTTTAAAATGCTGTTTACGCAGCTGAGTGCTGGTATAGTGAATATTTCACTTATCTGGTTACCTACACGTTCGAATTCACTTTTTACTAAAATTCGCCCAATACAAAGCTTAAGAGACATTCATGGTAAGAATTTGAAATGGTAATGATGAATGAGGTGTGAAATATAGGGGGGAAGAGAACGGGGGTAGTAAGTGGAAACTATGAGGATTAGAGGGATAGATAACGATAGTTCCCTTGACTTGAAGAAGTTAAGTTTAAATCGTTCATGGAAGCACTCACACGTTAATATGTTCAACAAAGGGGGAGTTCTTGGGGAGAAAAGCCCTCTGGGTAGCACTGCCTTTTTACTTTCGTAACACTGAGAAAATAATAGTGATTCGATTTCATGGAAGTATGACGTGTTCCCGCAGTAAAGACTGGTGGAACTAGAGAATGAAGCTGATCTGAACATTTGCCATAGAAATAGCAACAGATTAGCGACAGGCTTGCAATGATTTGTCACTTCCTGATCGTTCATTATTATATATCTTACTTATTATAAAACGCAGATTGTGTGTGTGTGTGTGTGTGTGTGTGTCTGTAACGTTTATATATTAGATCGGATTTCCTACATTTTTCAACCGATTTCAACAAAACTTCACAGGACTACATAAAATTACCTTGTGGTGGTTCTAACAGCGCCAAAAATGAGAAAAATATAATTGTTTTTGAACAAAATCAATTTGAAAACACGATTAAGAGACATCGTGAAAATGGAAGGGGGACAACTCACATCGAGTTTGTGTGTGTGGGTTCTTTAAATATGGGAGCGGATTTCCTATATTTTTCAGCCGATAAAACAAAACTTCACTTTTTTTTTTTGGCAGGTAGTGTTTCTTATTGTCTTGCACACTTTTTTCTTTATTTTTAACATTCAGAATGCTTTAAAAATTCCATTTACAAGACAATTATTTATAATAAAATTCTATTCAATCGGGAGACTCATAACGATTGAAAACAATGTCTTTGTTTGAGTTTCGGTTTGACCAATTCGTAAAAAAAAAAATAAAAAAAAATAAAACTAATTAAGACATGCGTGTCCGTCAACCTTAAACAATAATCTAACGATCTCTACTGATTGTACGAATACAAACATCGGATAAATTCTTTATCTTTAGGGAAAGGTAATGAAATCTAAACATACACAAGTCCTAACTAAAAAATAATAACCGGAACGGGAAACTACTTTAAATACACATTTTTTACTGTATTCAATAAGTAAAAATCATAAATTGTAAAAAGATTATTATTACAGAAAGGCTACTAAATGAATAAGATTTGTTAGATCATAATTAATAAACGCAAATAAAGTTAATAATTTTTGTATTAGAAACAACGAGTGGAAAATATATTCAAATCAGAATTCTAATTATAAATCACCACAAGCAAAATATGCAATTTTTTTTTTACTGTATTCAATAAGTAAAAATCATAAATTGTAAAACTAAAAGATTACAGAAAGGCTACCTACATTTTTTTCAACCGATTTCAACAAAACTTCACTTTTTTGGCATGTAGTGTTTCTTATTGTCTTGCACATTTTTTTTCTTTATTTTTACATTCAGAATGCTTTAAACATTCCATTTTCAAGACAATTGTTTATAATAAAATTCTATTCAATCGGAAGAGACTAATATTGTTTGTCAATGTTTTTGTTTGAGTTTGGGTTTGAACAAATCGTAAAAAAAAAAACAAAAAAAAACTAATTAAGACATGCGTGTCCGTCAACCTTAAACAATAATCTTTGTCAATTTTATTTTTCAGTCTTTATGATGGTGGATACTTGATCTATCTCTTACTGTTATATCCCCGGGCAACGCCGGGCTTTACTGCTAGTGATTTATTAAACCTGACTAAATCTGTCATTATATCAGATGTCAGGAAAAATGTGTGTATTTCACCAGTAATGGAAATAGGGTGAATTTGCCATGAAAACCTTTCGACTTGAAAAATACTTAACTTATTGTTCGCCGGAAAAGAATCATCAAAGTGTAATCAGACTGGCTGTTAATAATTTGGCAGATAATAGTAGAAATGATATTGAGTAAACTAACAAAGTACTAGACATTAAACACAACAGTGAAGTCTGACACTGAGAAATATGAAAAGTATCCCAGAATTGATTGTTTGAAAATAATCGTCCACAATTTTTACATATTTATAAACATTTCCTTTTATACTACACTTGGTATGAAGCAATTACAATTAATCTCCATTATGGAAATATAAAATTTTCTATCATGAAATTATATGATTGCTTTATAGATTTTATAGTTAGTTTTATAAATCATTTACATTGCAAAAAGGGAATAAAAATGACAAAAAGTTAAATGCCCTTTGATGACATTGTTCAAAAGCCCAGCGATCATTTGTTCAGTGATGTAGTTATGATCTGAAAGACTTGCTGATGTTGACATTAACTGCATTGTCTTAGTCAAAAAACGCAAAAATAAGACAACCAGCGAGGATAGAATTCACTGCAGAAATTCGAAAGTTGCTTTGCGGAAGACATTCATATCAATGTAAGCGTAAATACAGTATAAAGGCGGAAAGGTTATATTTATGTGCTATTTTTATTCACAGGATAAAATTGACTGATCATTCGTGTATGTTTTACTAATTTTTCCAAGTCCAACTTCCATGCGGGTTTGGCCGCTGACTGCCCTGTTTGAAGATTGATGGAGTGAGGTTTTCAGACAACCTCCAGCCATTCATTTTGACAATCGTTATTAATCTGACTGTGTTATTTGTAAAATGACCACTTAAGATGGCAAACCGCGAAAGATTCGTGCGGTTTTTGATTCCTTGTCGTGGTTGCATTTTTTATTCATTATAATCTTTGCGCACATTTCGTTTCCTTCAATCCGTTGTCCACTGGTTTTAAGTGTCATGTAAACAAAAATTTCAGAAGAAACACCAACAAAGAAAGAACAAATATCATCGTTAACATTCTCAGGAGGATTCATTGCTATCTGATGTGCCTCGATTAAACCCGATAAACACTTTCTTCCACTTTCCTAGCAAAATAATATTTTTTAAGTGATCCTGTTGGCGGCTTATTTGTAAAATAACTTCATTCTTCGATGTTATTCTGTCTTTCAAGTGCTACACATTGATCTTCGTTATGGCTCGGGAAATTTGGAAGCTAATAGAAATAAAAATTTGAAAAAATTAATTATTTTATAGGCTTCTTAATTAACGAAATTGTATTTGATTTAACTTCTGGCTTGAAATTGTATTTGATTTAACTTCTGGCTTGAAATTGTATTTGATTTAACTTCTGGCTTGAAATTGTATTTGATTTAACTTCTGGCTTGAAATTGTATTTGATTTAACTTCTGGCTTGAAATTGTATTTGATGGCTTGACGGCTTTTTTTAAAAATCATCTCTAATATTTCATGCATATGTTTTGGGTCAGCATTTTCTATTTTAAGAAAACGTAAACGTTCTTCGCGGTCAGAGAATGAGTATGACGATTCTGCTTTCAAACACTGTCGATGCAATTTTTCTTAAACTCATGTTCATCTTTCTGTTTGTTAGATTATTTTGATAAGCGCGCGTATGTACCCCCATATATATATATATATATATATATATATTAATTCGGTACACACACACACACACACACACACACACACACACACACAACACACACACACACACACACACACGAATTCGGTATATTTGGGAAGCAGTTGGCCTTTTAAACAGGTATTATTAAAACAATAGACATTTTGTGTATATTATATTTATTGATCTTTTTTTCTAATATATGAATATCCTTTTGTAAATGTTGTTATGTATGGATTAATTGACAAAAATTGTTCGTTAGCTGATTTACTATTCCAGAATCATTATTACACATTGCTGCCACATGACTTGCTGCGTCAAGTTGCATACAATTTAGTTTTTAGAAGATAACGAGACTTTAAAAAATAATGATACAATCAATATATTTTTCTTTTTTCACTGTGATCATGAGGCGAGAGGTTAGGACTACATAAAATGAATTCTGGCCAATATACCCACTCACAACCACCACATATACGAAACGATATTCGTACATTAGATAAAAAATCATTAAGTATAATAAAGACAGAACATCTTTCTCTCTCTTTCAATCGCTCTCTCGCTCGCTCTCTTTCTTTCTCTCTCTCTCTCTCTCTCTCTCTCTCTCTCTATATATATATATATATATATATATATACATAGATATGTAAAGACAAAAGGAATACTTAGCTCTTAGCCGATGCGTTTCATCCGCTGATAGACTTTATCAAGGCAAATATAAAGATTTTATTTTGCAACAAGCATTTATAAACAGAAGTAAAATGTCATTAGTTTCAGAATTTTAAATTTAAGTATGCTCATAAATATATTTCAGGCTTACTGAACGTCAAGATAATTTATAGAGGATGTTAAGTGATGTAAGTTAATGTCTAATAAACAAAAGGGAGTTATTGTTATTTTGATACTGTTGAATATTTTTAACAATGCAATTATTATTTATATTATTTATATTTCTTCTTCTTCTTCTTCTTCTTCTTCTTCTTCTTCTTCTTCTTCTTCTTCTTCTTCTTCAAATTACATGACGAATACAACGTAGACGCGTTTTTCAATATATATATATATATATATATATATATATATATATATATATATATATATATATATAGTTTGAAATACCCAGTAATCTCAAAGATTTAAAATAGTTTAAGAATTCTTATTTTATTGAATTTTAGGTATTTTGGTTTTAGAGTGCTACTTTCGAAAACGCTTCTTGAGCAAAATATTAGAAAATTACCAATAAATTTTAAATTTACTGTTGATATCACTGTTATTTTCTGATAATGTCGTGTATGGACGTCTTTATTTACAAAAATCAACACGTTTACACACACTTAAAATAAATTCAAAATTCTTTTGAATTTATTTGACTGGTGCTCGTTGAATTGTATTGCGCCTTTTCATTTATGATTAGTAAATGCAGATTCAATTTAATAATATCACTTGACTGCTACAAATTGATATAGCATTAAAAAAAGCTGAACTTTATAGATTATTCTAATGAAAATAATAAAAAAATTAAAACAATTCTAGTAAAAATTTATTATTCATCGAATTTTTTTCTTATATTCTCTGACGACTTGCTCATATAAGTGATACAAAAAAGCGATACAAAAAGAATTTCTCGTAATTTGATAAAATTAGAAAAATTGGGCGCAACAAATTAAAAAAAAATTACTATGATTTTCTAAAAAAACAAATATTTCAAAAATAATTTCATTCATTTGTAAATAAGTCCAGAAAATGTCACTAAAATCCGACAATTATCTAATTTTTACAAGAATTTCCAAATCACTTTTTTTCAATACAAAAAAGCGATCGCATTTTCCCGTACACATTTATGGTCTTTTCTTGACACCAAAAAATAAATTTTATCACTAAAATTTCCAAGGATCGAAAATTCTACATAAAAATTCTTTGACCTTTCATCTTAATAATAACGTAAAGGTGTTGACGATAAAATTTTATTTTTATTATGCTTTGTACATTTTTTCATTACGCATCCTCTTTTTTGTCGAATTTTTGGAGGTAACTACTCTTCATTATTGCAATTATAACTAATTTTAATTTGTCTTAATATCGCTGTTTATTATCAAAACACTCTTGGATAATAGTCGCTGTGTTGCTATAATTTACTCATTAGACTCTATTATTGTTGCTTTTAAATACAATACGACCTGGGTTGATACAATCTTCATTATTATCTATATATTAATACACTTGTACCTACGTACGGTGAGTGCTATGCTTGGCATCACAGATACCGAGTGGGAAACAAAAAGAGAGAGGGACATAGAGAGTAAAACAGAAATAGTCTGAGAGAGAGCGCGCGAGAGATTGAGAGAGAGAGAGAGAGAGAGAGAGAGAGAGAGAGAGAGATTGAGAGAGAGAGAGCAACCCAGAGAGGGATTGGAGTAGGGTCATCTTAGATAAAGTTGTTTGTATTGAGGGTTTAAATCATATTTCGTGATTTAACGATCAGTTGAGGATATATTCGACCATATAGTGCAAGTGACCTTTTGAAATTAAAAACTTTCTTTTTTATTCTTATCTTCGCGATTTTTAAAAATTTCATACATGTCTATTTCCACTATTTATATTGTTCGGACTTTTGTTCCCATCTTTATTGTCACATTAACAACGATATCAGTCCGAACAATGTAAATAGTGGAAATAGTTACAATACCTCCTCTCAGAAATACAGACAAATGTTTATTTCCTTACTGTACAATTTGTCCGTTCTGTAGAATTCAGCTTTCATCACACAGTGAAAGCTGATTAAATCTCCAGATTACACATGATGCATACCTCAATTGGGAAAAATTAAGACAAGTAATTCTAATATTACCTTTCATATATTTATAAAATATATATTTAATCCATTCCGTTTTATGTAATTTTTTTCAGATTATTAACGAAGCTGTGCGTCATACAAAATTTCAATATTTTAAAGAGAGACTATGTCACATTTCCTTATAATTATCGAAGAATGGTCATTGGTTGAAAAGTACAGAGTGCAGTATCAAAAAATTATTAGTCTTGCTAGTTATTACTGCTATTTCATTATTACTTTTACTCTATCTTGTTGCTTCTTTCTTTCTTTCTTTCTTTCTTTCTTTCTTTCTATTTCCACACACCAATTCTTTATTCCATTTCTTTACAAGATTCTTCTTGTTTCATTTTACAATAAACTGAGTTGATACAATCTCCATTATAATTAATATTATTATTACTATGATTTTATTATTAGTTTTATTCTTTCTTTCTTTCTATTTCCACACACCAATTCCTTATTCCACTCCTTTGCATGATTTTCACAACCATATTGTAATTAGTTGTTTCTTTCTTGCCTGTCACTTCTTTCAGTCTCTTCATTTCAGTTTTGAGTCCCATAGGAACGCCCGATATTGTTACTTTCGACCAAAAGGGCGACTTATTAGCAATGGCCAACTGAATTTGGTGGAGGCCAGCCCAACTCATTATCTAAACAAACGCTCACATCCGATATCTGTTCGTATAACCAAACTGTTGGCCATCTTATGAATATATTTACGGCTAATTCTCAACGGGACGCCGACCCATCGCCCTGTGTCTTTTGTGATTGGCCACTTGCAACTCTTTTCGACCGTTCTACTTACAAATAAAACTTTCTTTTTAGTTTCCCGGCAAACTCTCTTCTTTCTCTTTCTCTGTTTCACATGTCAAATATACCTATACATATACTTACAACCACACGCGCACACACACATACATATATATATACATATATATATAGGCGTGCGGGGTGCCCACAATTACAGGTAATACATGGGTAAATAGCTGCGTAAGCCTATGTACATATGGATGTTAAGTCTGAACAGCATAGTGGTTAAGTAGCCTGCGTGAATTGTTTTTTGAACTTTCGATAAATTAATCTTCCTCAATGACATCAAAAGAGGCATGAGCCTCAAAACTATTACGTTTCAGCTTTGTATTCGGAGAGTGTATTAATTTAATTATGGTTCTTGATTTCAAGGCAAGAAACAAAACATTTTGCCGGAATTAAGGAAATAACGAATAAGGAAAATGGAAGAGATAATGAAAATAATTTCAGAACTTCAGATGGCAATAAACAGGAACAGTTGTGCGTGTGCGTCAGCATTAGTTCTTTTCCGGCCATGAAATAATATTTTTCTTTTGTCTATATCACCTTGCTTCTTTCTTTCTTTCTTTCTTTCTTTCTTTCTTTCTTTCTTTCTTTCTTTCTTTCTTTCACTTGTTCCACTGTTTTCCTTATTTCTTTAATTTTTATTGTTCATATTATATTTCATATAATAATGGATATTCACCTTGTCCGTTTTTACCACTAAATCAGAGTTAAGCACTACCAGAACTAGGGATTAAACACAAATGCTATGAAACCAGATATATTTTAGCCAATAGTTGAATCCATTAAGACGTGTACCTCTTCAATAAACCAGTAGTTAATTGTGGAGCTTTAAACCTAATTTCCCTTTTCAGGTGGTCGATCTGTATGACTGTCCTACTTTAGATCGTGAAAATGATCTCTGAGATGGTGGAATTTTTGTGTCCTTTCTTTCACAAGCAGAGGTTCCTAGAGAATATTCTTCACTATACTGATGCGGTTGTCAGTGCCCTTCATGTGTACCATTTCTTTCAGTCGTCTTATCCAACAGGCTTTCTCTCTCTATCTCTCTATTATCTTGACTTCATTCTTTTGAGGTTGATGACTATCTTATATGGAAAAATAAGATAGCAATTCTTGATTCCAATATCTCTCCCAGGACTACAGCTTTTCGATGTTCCTCTACCATAATTTTTAGGGGATATCTGGTCTCTTCGTATTCTTTGCCACATAAGTTCTTGGTAATGCTTTGTTCAAATAAGAACTTGGTTCAACAGAGATATCTCTGATGGGTTGATGGGCTTTTGAACAACGTCACGAGATCAGTCCATGGTACTGGTAGTGTTGAAAATCACATAATCTGATATAATGGAGGAAACAGGCAAGTGACACAAAGGAGAGTGGTGATTATGAAAACGGAATGGAAACCATCTGCTCTTTGAATTGAATAAATGTTTCGCTTTCCGCAAAGGTTGCAGAGTATAATGACATATATACGACGTACACGAATGTTACAACTATCGAAACATTATGACCATAACAACCAAAATAAATATATTAGTTTAAATGTACTTGCTGCTTTTATTTTTTTATTTCTCAATTAAAAAGATGTCGATATTTATTGATATCAAGTACACGTTTATACATTCATATCTTGATGCAATAAATGTAATTTCGCCGATGCCACTATACAAAACAATATCGATTCTTTGCCCAACCATTGCCCATTTCGTTTTTTTTTGTTGATAAGAATCCTTACCAAAATATTTGGTTACAGTACTCTTTTCGCGATTGATATTTGCGATCAAAATCAAACCTCGTAATAAAAAATCCGATATTGTTTATAAAATGTTTAAATCAATTGCCAGGGTATTGGGAATTGTCTTTAATTGCAAGGGAATTGTCTCTTGAGTCCTCATATGATACTTTGATGTGCTTTCGACTTTCCTTATTGCACTCTGTTAGCTATATCCATTTCCTTTATCGTTCTCTTTCTTCTCAGGACTGTAATATATTATACAAAATTTCTGACAATATAGAAATTGCTCTCTCTTTCTCTTTCTCTCTCTCTCTCTCTCTTTCTCTCCCTCTCTCTCTACATTCATCTTCAAACATTTTTGTATTTGGTGAATTTCATACTCAAGTGGCTTAAGCATTTTAATGTTACTGATGTTGCCGGTATGCCGACTTTCAATTTTGCCGTTGCTCAATCTCTTGTTTAAATAGTGGATTTCCCTAATTGTTTTCCTAATATGTCTGATTAACACACTTCTTTACTTGATTTTTCCTTACCTCCCCTCCTAGCTCTTGTCGAGCATCACAGCTCTGCCATCTTGGCAATTTGGATCACACCCTAGTATCTGCTGATATTCCATTCACAAGACTTCACAAGACGTCTTTCTGCTATCAGGATACTGTTTGGGATTCATTTCGTGACTTTCTTCGAGATGTCTCTTGGATTGATATTTTTAACCATCCTATTGAGAATTTCTTAAAACCAACATCAATGCTTTTGTTTCTTCTTGGAAATACCAGGATAAGATAGCTATTCTTGATTCCAATATCTCTCCCAGGACTACAGCTTTTCGATGTTCCTCTACCGTTACTTTTAGGGGATGTCTGGTCTTTTTTTTCTTCTTTATTGAAACCGGCCTGTTCAGCCGCTATAGCCCACATGAATCACTTCCGTTTATTCCAGCGTGATAGTTCCAATTATAACATACACCTCTTTGTGTTTGCTTGTAATAATTGTAAACGTGTTCTCAAAGAAGCTAAGTCTTTGTTTGCTGTTAGAATAAGTCAACATATAGCCCCTAAAATGTTAGCTCTCGTGACTAATGGTGGCTCTGTAATAGTGTTTTAAATAAGAGTAAATCTTCTACCCATCCCCTCTTCAGTCAATTTGATGTGTTAACATCTTTTACGGATAAAGCTGAATGTCTGGTTCATAAATTCTCTTCAAATTCTACTCTTGACTCATCTAGAATATCTTTGACTTTCCACTTAGAGCAGAGTCCCTTTTGAATGAGATACATATACCTCCGTCCATGATTCTCCTATCATCTCTAAATTGGATCCCCTCAAAGCATGTGGACTTGATGGTATCCCTGCAGTAATCCTTAAGAAATTTTCTCTTGAACTGGCTCCTGTTCTCTCTATGTTGTACAATAAGTGTCTTGCTGTTTCTTGCTTCCCTACCTGTTGGGAATTCTCTTCTCTAGTTCCAGTCTAAGAATTCAGGCGAACCGTCTGATCCTTCTAAATATCGGCCTATTAGCCGTTTACCTCCTTTTAGTAAGGTACTAGAGGAGCATATCAACTCTGAATTGGTTAAGCATCTCACCTCGCAAGATTTTCTTTCGGATAAGTAATATGTCTTTCACTTATCTAGATGTATTAACGATTACTGCTGAAGAGGTTTATCAAGCTTTAGATAAGAATGATGAAACCCGGTTGTTACGTTGGATATTTCGAAGGCATTTGACAGGATTTGGCATACCGGTCCTCATCACAAGTTGAAAGGTTATGGTATTTCTGGGTGAATTTTTGAACTGATCCAGTATTTATTATCAAATCTTAATATGAAAGTCTTGAACGGTCGATCTGTTTTGTATTAATGCAGGCATCCTTCCTGATGAAATCAGTTATCAACTCGGTATCTATGCTGATGTCACAATTATTTACACCTTTGTAATAGTAAATCTGATCGGTTCGATAGAATCAAATTGGTAGCTGATCTAAAAAATTGCCTATACTCCGTTGTTAACTGGGGAAAGGAATGACTTGTTAATTTTAGCGCCTCCAAAACTAAACTTCTCTTTATTAGTTGTCTGAGAGAAGCCTTTCTGCTTTCCATCAACATGATTAGTGCTAATCTCTAGGAAAGTTGCGCCTCACGGGCTAATGTTTTCTGCTTACATGAACTATAAAGATTATATCGAATCAATTGCTAGGTCTGCTGCTAGAAAATTTGGTTTTCTGTGTCACTTTTTTCGGTTGAATTTATCTTACATATTTACCAGTCTACCATTCATACATGGTTAGAATATTGCTGCCACATATGGTCTGGTACTCCTGCTATATATTTAGATATCATTGATAGAATTCAAAGAAGACACTGAAATGCCATTTTTTAAAAATACTTTCATGGTAATTGTTCTGATAAGCTCTCCTCTAAAGTATCCAGAGTCTACGAATTTAAGATTGGCGGCAAGATCTCGCCATTTTACAGTCGAAATGGTTAGATGTAATCGAAAGTACGATACTAACAGTTTCTTTTTTCGCACGTCTCACTCGTGGAACTCTCTTCCGGATTCTTGTTTTCAAGTTTGATCTTCAAAAATTTAAATCTAAGTGTTATCAAAAGTATTTTCGTTTACTTAATACTTATTTATTGTACAAGCTTATCTAATGCCTCCATATAAGTCTTCTGTCACCAACCCTAGCTCTTCTGAAAGTCTACGGGTGTTGGTGGCCAGGTTCTCTTCTAACTCCTGAGTTTTATTCGCAAGGAGAATTTCATCCCTTAAAAGTAGGTACCTCCACTTTTTTTGTTAAAAAAGAGCATATCATGTTGAAAAAAGGCCCCAAACTTGATAAAAACAAAGTTTTATCGTCAACATTTTTATGTTATTAAGAGGAAAGACCAAAGTATTTTTTTATTTTATTAAATCTTTTAATCATTTCTCGCATATTAGAAACTTTGGTTAAAAATCTTGTTTTCTTTTTGCGCTAGCGGTGGTCCAAAGACTACTATGGATATTTTAACGCCTTTTGTCCAATAAAAATACATTGATTTGCAAAAATCAAATAATTATCGGATTTTAATGAAACTTTCAGGTCTTAGTCACAAATGAATGAAATTATTTTTTAATTTCTTTTTTAGAAAATCTTGGTAAAAATATTTGTTTCAAATCATTAATTATACATTTGTATTTTTTATTTTTGGAAGATTTTTCAATAAAGAGAAATGAATTATATAGCGATGAAAGACGACTAAAAAAGGGCGCTAATCAGTTATTTTACTAAAATAAAAATAATAATGAAAATCGATTCCAATCAGTATAATTTCTGTTTGAAATACACCAAACTATTTTGCTTACTGGAAATAGTAAATATAATCAATTAAAGCTAAAATGAAAGCTTCAAGAAAGTTTTTTCATTTTTTTAAATTCATTTTAAACGTTAGGTATCGCCAATTAGTGGAAGTACCTACTTAAAAGGCTTAAGTTTTCAGCAGTACAATCAGAGATTATTTCATTTTTTCTATTTCCCTGAATTCTGCCCACAACTCCAAACATCCTAATTATTAAAACTTTTTCATTATTTAACGTGCATAATATAATCCATATCTTGTAGATATTGTTTTTGCCGATGCACAATGTCTCAGCAGCTGTTAAATCCTGATGACCTCCAAGGTCAAAATGGTGAAATGGAAGGTGTTAAATTTGTTGTTCGATTAACCTCAAAAAACTGAATTACAGACGATGTCATAATGATCTGTTGATTCCAAATCAAGGATCATCCTATATACAAGAGTAACCTATTAATGAATATATACGGTATGTATGAATGTGTTCTCTTCTACAGAAGTCCTGTTAATACAATTCCATTTTCTATTTGTCTGTATGTCAATACATCTCCACTTTTCCCTTCTTTCCCCGTAATAGTTTATCCACAACTCACCCACTCCGGTTTAGATTATTATTCTTTCTTTCTCTTTCTCTCACTCTTTCTTTCTCTCTTTCTTTCTTTCTTTCTTTCTTGCTTTCTTTCTTCCTTTTTCTTAAGCTTTAATGTTCGAATGCTCTCTACATTTCCTTACCTTATTAAGCTTACTAAAAATACCCATATAAGTATAAATGACTTCGAAACAAGTTGAATGTAATTCCTCGTACTACTAGGTATGCACAATCAGTTGTATTTTTTAATCTCGCCTTCTTTACGGTTAGTTACGGGCGTTGGCTTTCGTCTAAATGTTTAAGTCGATTTTTCTTTTCTCGTAAATTTTCCTTATCAAACAATATTTTCATCCATTTTATACTTTTAAAATTTCACGCATTACCTTTCCTTCCGCGTTTTGAATTTTTTCCTTCACTTTTTCTTTTCTTCATTTTCTCCTCCTCCATTTATTGTATTTCGCTTTTCATTTCGTTCGATTTTAAAGTTTACTTTCCACAGCACTTTCCTTCATCTCATTTTTCTACCCTTCCCTTCCTCGTATCACCGCTTCATCTTTCTTCTTCTTTGTTAACCTTTGCTTCTTAATGTTTTCATTTTTCATCTCTTCACTTCTTCTTCTTCTTCTTCTTCTTCTTCTTCTTCTTCTTCTTCTTCTTCTTCTTCTTCTTCTTCTTCTTCATTTTTCACTTCTTTTTCTATTTCACTTCATTTTTTCAACGCTTTTCTCTTTCACTCTCAGTTTCACTTCTTCATATCACAAACACCGCCATTGCTATTCTCAGTTTCCTTCCCCTTACACTCTTGACCTACCCGCCATTTCTCCCCTGCTATTGTTGAAATCCCTCATGAAACCCCTTAACCTTGTTAGCTGATCCGTTACGTCTAACTGCTTATTCAAACTACACCAACAAATACACTGCCCGTTCAACTTCATATCATGGCGCCCGCACTTAGCACGCAGGAAGCCTTTCTTTTCTCGATGCCTTACCCTCACCCTCAGATACTCGTTACCACCTTGCCCTTCCCATAAACACCGGTTCTTTTGCATCCCCATCTCTTTCTTATTTGTGCATCGGCCGCTGAATATTGCCGAAAGCATTTCTCAAATCAGATCCAAGTATGTCGACTCGGCCCTTTCTGTTGGTCCGTTACGTATCTTTGCTTCGTGTAAGCTGTGTCGCTAACATCTCGCTAATTGGGGTTGTCAGCGATAACGAGTCAACTTGCACGGGCTCATTGTGATCGTCAATTTTCGTTCATTTTCGTCGATCTCCGCTCATTGTCGGCAATTTACGTTGATTATCTAATTACAAAAGGTAGACTCACCGAAGCCGAACCAAACCCGAAATTAGATTAGATGCGAAAGCTGATCAATAACGCGAACAAAGAAGCGAACAAATGGAATTGGTGGAGAGAAGAGGGCGTCGTGGTTTGAGCTTGATTATCAATGGACACCAATGTAAACACACACACGCATACACACACACGCATATGGACGCACGCATGCACTAGCTCACAAGACGCCATTATAAGCAGATTGAGGTTGAAAGAGACACAGCGAAAATGCTTTCTACGTCTCAGCTTTATTCGAAGATTTGTGCGTTGAGCCCTGCGTATGCGTATACAATGTTGTACAAAAACGTCTGTCCTACTCTATGGTACATACGTATCTTTAACATTTTATCTGAATATATGTATATATTTTTTTCTTTATCAAGCTTATGTGATTACACGAACAGATATATTGGCGAATTTGTCTAAGTGCTTTTTTGCTTGGCTAGGAAGTTGCTAACATTTATTTATTTTTGTTCAAAAACTGCGAGTGAGTATTCAAGTATACGAGAGAATACCTCTTTCGTTTCCGTATTTATATAATTTGCGGGCTGCGACGGATTTAGTTATATAAAGGTGCGCAGAAAATTTGTCTTCCCAACAATTGAAAAATCTGTTCAAATGACGAAACAAGAATTTTTTTGAAAGGTCTTGGTAGGCTCGATAATGTTTCAGCATTCCTTCATATGTCGGCGAATTTGGATATACCCTATATGCATTTGTATAGTCGAATTTTCTTATCAGGATCATCTCATTGCATCAAACATGAAAATGATTCACAAGTCACGGAAAAGAAATTTAACAATCAGATTCTCTTCTGACTTGAATAGAAATCCAGAAACCGACAGAATAAATGGAAGAATATTATTTACAGCGTTGGCTGATCTTCAGTTTGTGACAAAATGCTTTTCAAAACGCTTTCTGCATTTAGAAGATTTGGTCCAACACAGTATTCCTCCCCCATTTTCCTCCATTTGTTCTTATGCCCTGTTAGTCTAATCTTAGTAAATATGTTGGTTGCTTTAACGGATAATGTAGATGCCTTTTCGACATCAGTAACAAACGTTGGTATTAACACCATCAATATACCATAATAGGTCCTTCTGTTGACCAATGGTACATAATAGGTCCTTCTGTTGACCAATGTAGTCCCCAAGTAATATGAGACAAGCAGCCCGAGGTTACATAGTATCAGTAACAGAAGGGCAAATCTAACCTTACCGTGCCCTTACAGCAGTGGCCATTAATTCACGACATGGCAGAAATATGCGAGGTTCGAGATTTTGTTAAGATAACTGGCAATAGAAAAGAATGCAGGGGAAATCTTTTTATACGCTTATCCAAATATTCAGCCATGTCCAAATGTTATGGAGTTTGACGCCTCCGATTGACAATAACTTAGCACCATTTTCTTTTCACCAAGACAAGACAATAACAAAAGAATTTTGTCAATGAAATTTTAAAGAAAGGAAAACTGAAATAAAAAGAAATTATTAGTTTTAGAAGAAAATGACAAGTAAATCACTTTTCAAATAATTTTATCCTTTCTTTATAAATAATCAGCGGGTGATTTTTTCCTTTCCAGAACAGCTTTCAGTACAATGGAATAAAGTGAATATTAATGCCATTAAACGCGGGATCAGACGGTGATTGCTCCTGAAAAAAGGGACGCATGTTTGAATCTTGCCTTTATTAAGTTTTCTTGAATGGGAGGGACGATAGCCGAAATAAACACAGTTTTATAAAAGGAGCGTCTACTCAAATACTGGTATCCACTAAAAATAAGTACTACTACTACTACTACTGCTACTACTACTACTACTACTGCTACTAATATATATATATATATAAAGAAAGAGAGATAAAGAACGAGAGATAAAGAAAGAGAGAGAGCGACAGAGAATAAAAGAACGAAACAATAATGACTACAAAGGTAAAAAGGAAGAAAAGAAAATGAAAAGTAAAAGGTGGAGAGGAAGTCGAAAGCGGGAAACGGGAGCGGAGGTGAATAGTGTTTTAACTTATTAATATTCAATCCCTCTTTTTATTTTATTCAACTCAAGCTTCTTCTCCTTTTCATGATGATCATGATGATGATGATCATCATCTTTTGCTATTTTCCTTTTCGACATATCACTTACTATCCTCTGTATACAGACTGAATTTTCTCTCGACATATCACATTCGAAATGGCGGCATCATTGCTATTCCATGCCCAACACCCGAAAATCTCACTCCGTTGCTATAGCTTCCTTGTTAAAATGGAATAATATGACTAGAAAAGGTGGGTTCGGAGCTT